GAGTGGTATGATTTTTCCCAACCTTTCACCTTCAGTCTGTGGATGTCTTTTCCTATAAGAGGCAGCATACTGTTGGGATTTTTTTTTTTATCCAATCAGCTGGCCTATGTCTTTTGATGGGTGAGTTTAGTCCATTAACATTCAGATTATTATTGAGACATGATTTGTATTCCCAGCCATTTTTGTTATTTAACCTGACTTGGTTTCTCCTTTGATTAGCTTTGCCTTTAGTGTAATACCTCCCTCTAGTGATTTTCGTTGTTGTTTTTCATTTTCTCTTTATAAAATATTTTGCCAAGGAAGTTCTGTAGTGCAGGTTTTCTAGCTGTAAGTTCTTTTAACTTTTGTTTATTATGGAAGGTTTTTATTTCATTATCAAACCTAATTTTACTGGATACAAAATTCATTTTCTTTCAGAGCTTGGTAAATGTTGTTCCAGGATCTTCTAGTTTTCAGGGTCTAGATTGAAAAATCTGTACATAACCTAATTGGTTTCCCCATATATGTAATCTGATTCCTTTCCCTTGTGGCTTTTAATATTATCTACTTATTCTATATGTTAGGCATTTTTATTATAATGTGACTTGGTATGGATCTGTTGAGATTTTGTACATTTGGTGTCCTGTAAGCCTCTTGAATTTGGCTTTCTAATTTGTTCTTCATGTTTGGAAATTTTTCTGATATTATTTCATTGAATAAGTTGTTCATCCCTTTGGTTTGGAACTCTATGCCTTCCTCTATCCCAATAACTCTTAAATTCAATCTTTTAATGCTATCCCATATTTCTTGACTATTATGTTCATGGTTTCTTACCATTTTCACTGTGTCGTCTATAGTCTTTTCATTATTATATATATTTTTTCATTGTCTGAGGTCCTGTCTTCCAAGTGATCTAATCTGTTGGTGATGCTTTCAATTGAACTTTTAATTTGGTTTATTGTTTCTTTCATTTCAAGGATTTCTGTTTGGTTTTTCTTTAGAACCTCTATCTCCCTATTGAAGTAATCTTTTTCTTCCTGTATTTGCTTATGTAGCTCTTTGTTGAAATGATTTTGCTTCCTGTATTTGCTTTCTTATATCATTCTTTAATTCACAAAACATTTTAATTATGTACATCCTGAACTCCTTCTCTGTGATTTCATCTGCTCTGCTGGCCATGGATCCTAATAATGTGGTATCTTAATTTTTGCCGGGGGCACTTTCTTCCTTATCTTCCTTTCTAGCTCTGTGGATTCGAGGCATTACTATTTTTACCCCATATGCTTATAGTGCCCCTTAAGGTTCCAATGCCTCTCCTTTGAGGGGAAGGACAATGTTTACAGATCCCAATCTAAACAAAATACCACCTAAAAACAAATAGTTGTTGTTAAAACATTTACAGTTTGGTCACAATATACAGAAATGGTAAATTCAATTATTATCTACAATATAATCAGTAGGTTTGTAAAAGTGTTTACACTTTCTGATGGTGGACAAAGAACCAGGGGGTAGGTGTAGGAAGATATGCTGAGGAGGTATGAGATGAGGATGAAGAGTTATTATATATTAGGAAGTGTGAAAGAGAAATCTAAAGAAGGAGGTTAGTAGCAGGAGAATAGAGAGGTAGTAATTTTGGGTAGACAAGTAAGAGGGAAGATAGTAGAGTACATAAAACAAACACACATATATATTAAGGAAAATGAAAAAATGTTAAAATAGTAAAAATTGAAGAGAAAAAGAAAACAAACAAACAAAAAGAATGTAGAGAACAACTGTAATATACTATTTAGTTGTCTCAGTCCTCAATATCCTAATTCATGCAAACTTGGTTTCACATATGTTGGGGATATGAGGGCAGAGGAATAAAGAGGGAGAAGAAAGAAAAAATATTGAAGTAAGAAACAAGGATTATTTTGGTTGGAAATCAGTATCTTTCCTGCTTCCCTTCTCATCCAATAGGTGAGATTTTCTGTTCCTAGTTGGTATCTCTGACCTCAGGATGGTGGGGGTTACCAGAGTTTGAGGGTTGGTCTTGAGTGCCGGGCACCTAGCAGTGGGGTATGGCACCCGCCATCCCATTGGGAGGGAGTCTGCACCTAAAGGATCTCCTTTGGGGTTTGTTCCTGTGATGTGGTGCCTGGTCTTATCGCGCCTGTAGACCTTACGGTTCCTGCCCTCTAAATTAGTCTCTAAAGTGTATCTCTCTCACCCTCTCTCTTTCTACTTCCTAATCAGGAACCTTTCTCTCTGGGAGTCTTGTGTGTTGCACTCTGGTGGCTGCACAGCAGCCGGGGAGGGCTGTTTTGTATTGGGCAGTTACTCTGCTGAGTAAGCAGCTGCTGGGGATTGGAGGGAATTAGAAAACTATGCATACCTGGCTATCCAGGGTTCTAAACTGGTAGTTGCCCCAACTAAAGATGTGATGGAGGCAGCTGCTTTCATCAGTGGGGTGTTGGGTTGGGTGGAGGGAGCTGGGTGATGGTGTTATGCTATTCGTTCAGAGATGAACTCTGTGGTGTGCAGTGTTGTGGCTGTAGGCTTTCTTCAAAGCCTGTGATGTCCCCAGGTGCAGGCAGGCTACTGTGAGTAGGGGATTATGGCAGTAGCTGCTGAGTCCCAAGATAGACGTGACCAGGGGAGCCCCACGTTGGTAGATGGGGATCCACACGGGAGTGGTGGATGGAGTTCCTGTGCATAGGTAGCTGCTGAATGTCCTTTGTGGGTGCAGCATCTGGGAATTCTGTGCTGGGGATGATGCTGGTGGTCCTGCTAAGGCACCTGCAAGACCTGACTGGGTGAGTAGTTGGGAGTCAGGAGTCATGGTGGCCATGATTCCTATGTGTGATCAGTTGTGGAGGGATCCTCTATCACTCTCAGAAAAGCAATATTACCACCAGAGGTTGAGTCCTGGGTCATGGGACAACACAGAATGCTGCCTTCTTTCCACTGGCCCACCATCTTCGATGGGGTTGGCGTTTCTTCTAACTCCTGTGTGTGGTATCCACCTCCTTGTATCATCAGTTGGTCTCAGGGTTTCACTAAACACTCTTCAGAACTTGGATGTCAGTTCCTGTTCCCAGTGAATCCTCTATGTCTGCTCCTTACCTAACAGCTGCTATGCTTTCTCCTCATTGACTTCGACATGCCTGGACCTCGCCTCTAGGGTCAAAGTGTAAAGCATGGACATACATTGCTCTCCCTGAACTCTCCCACAACTCTCCCTGAAGGTTGGAGGATGATGAGGGACTTCAGTAAGACACAATATATGGGAAATGATGAAATGGAATGGCTAAAGGCCCTGGCCTTAAAGGCCCTCCACTGTCCCCACCACTGTGACTATTTCATATGACATTCTTCACAAAGCACTGGCCTACCATCATTTCCCAGACCTTCTTTTCCCTCCTTCTAGCCAAACATTTCTCTCAACTCACCTAGTACAGAAATACTCAGAAACACTTCCCACAGGAAGCTAGCCTATAATTTTATTAAGGAGAGAAATCTAGTTTGTTTTTATTGAATGCTGACATAAGAAGTAGTATAGTGTAATGGTTAAGCTCATGGGTTTTAAAGTCCGTGTGCTCAGGTTCAAATCTAGTCCCCTCCACTTATTAACGGTATGATTTTAAGAATTTTTTTATGTTCATAGTACCACAGTTCTTCCATGGTAAACCTGATCACAGCTCCTACTGGCTGAGGCTGTTATGAGGATTATATGAGGAATACAGATCATGTAAGATGTGTACACCTGTCCCATACAAAGTAAGCACTCAGTGAAAGATAGGTGTTATTCTTCCAACTTCTTTCTCCTTGACTAACCAAGACCAGTTGTTCTAAAACGTTAAGACCCAGGAATTGTTTAGAGATTTGTTTGAACTATGAATTACTGGGTCCCATCCCCAGAGTTTCTGATTCAGTAGGTCTGGGGAGGTGTCAAAGAATTCGCATTTCTAACAAGTCCCCAGGTGGTGCAGTAAAGCTGGTCCCATGATGATGCTTTGACAACCATTGGTCAGAATATCTTTCTTATTATCAAAAAGCATTTTTGAGGGGGTCCTGGGGATTTAACTCAGGGGTACTTGGCCACTGAGCCACATCCCCTGCCCTACTTTTTGTATTTTATTTAGAAACAGGTTCTTACTGAGTTGCTTAGCGTCTGGCTTTTGCTGAGGCTGGCTTTGAACTCCTGATCCTCCTGAGCCACTGAGATTATAGGTGTGCACCACTGTGCCTGGCAATTGTTAAGGCATTTTTCTTGGCTTCTTACTTTTAGGAATAGGTGGAAGTTTAAAATCCTGCTTTCTATGGAGATTTCCTTGATCAAATCCCATAGGCAGAAAAAAAAATATTATGCTGACTATTCTGAAAGAAAGAAGAGGAAATAAGAATATATACATGTATCTCCATTTTTTTTTTTTTTTTGCCACTCACACATACCCAAAAAGAAATATACAAAGAAACCAGAAACTAATAGAATTGCTTACCCGGTGCAGAGTAGAAAACACAGAAAAAGAGTGAAAGTCCTCTGTGTATATGAGTATGCGTATATATGTGCTTCTGTGTTTGTATCATTCTTAATGATACTAATAGCCTTATATTGAATAAAAACAGTAACAAATTAATCTAAAAGTATATCAAATGGATGGTAGAACCCAATAGAAGGAAAAAGAGAATGAATCCAAATCACTTTGAATACAGTACTTAGGTATATACTCCCAGTCTAAAGCCAAAAAGAAGTACTAATAAATATTGTTTTTGGCAGCAACATAAACATATTAATTTTGAAGATATTTTTTATGAACTTTAGGAATAATCAATTGAGTAAATATAGTGACTGTTCTGGGAATATAGTTTTCTGTTGTGGGGAAAAGGATATGCATTTTATGGTAGGGAAATAAGAAAATGTATAATATTGGCTTAGAATATTTCCTGATAAGGGTCAGTATCAAACCATGATTTTTCAAAAAACTGAAAATAATATATGAACATGCATGTTTCTTTCTTAATTATAGGAGGCTAGAAGTAATGTACCTCAGAACAATGAGAAAACCTAGAACCCAGATCAGGATGTCTAAATGCCATTCCCCATTGAAGACAGCTGATTCTAAAGAACATGATAAGTGTATGATGAGACATTCCTGAGCAGGGGGCAGAATAAGTCTTCCCACCAAGAGGCATGGCTTTACCTTTCAGCTTGGCTGCCCTTTCTTTGGGGTGAGTATATTTATACAGTTTAAAGTTTCTCCTTAAAGATTACGTACTAACTAGAAGAGGAAATAGCACTCTTATGGTGGAGAGCAAACTGGTATCTTATATTTCCTGATAAGATATGCTGGAAAGGATTTAATATCAATTTATGTAATATTTCTACCAAAAATGTATAACTGGAATTTTATTATGAGACTATCAATCAAATCCAAATTGAAAGACTAGCCACAAAGCAAATGGCCTTCATTTTTCAAAAACATTAGTGTCAGGAGACACAAAGACTGAGAACCATACTAGAATAAAGGACATTAAAAACAATGACTTCTAAATGTAAGATATAATTTTCTATTAAATGCTGGATGAGAAAAATTCCTTGTTGCTAGGAAGGACATCATTTGGATAAGAGGTAAAATTTGGTTATAGTCTGCACATTCCTTAACTATACCATCATTATGTACTATCATAATTATATTGTGTCATCATTAAAGTCTCTGAATGATCATTACCCTGTGAAAGCGAATGTCCCTGACCTTCAAAGATAAATGCTTAAATATTTATGAGTGAATGTCTGCAACTTGCTCTCAAGTGATTTAGTAACAACAACAACATAGACGGAGAGAGATGAAGCAAATACGATGAAGTATTAGCAACTGGTAAATCTCACTAAAGGATATATGAGAGTTCATTGTACAAATTTTGCAACTTTTCTATGTTTGAAACTTTTACAGAGTAAAAAGGTAAAACAAATTTTAAAAATCTTTATGTGAATCTCTCCCCAACTAGATAACATAAAAAAGTTATTCTCCCCTTTGGCTTGGGAATCTTCCACTATTTTTTTCACTGTTACATTTTTCTGTTGATAACTTTGAGTTCCAGGGCATGGCAACCGGTGGGGGAACAACTGGTTTGGGCAAGGGTGATGGTCATGATTTGAAGCAGCAGGTACGAAGTGTCTCTGAGGTCCAATGAGACCTTGGGGAGAAAAGCAGACTCCAGAAAAGTCCCCTGGATGAAGTGGTCCTTGATAAGCAGAGCCACTTCCAGGGCTGACAAGCATGGAACTAGTAAGGAAGTTGTATGTAGTAAATTTATTTATTTTTATTTTTATTTTTATTTATTTTTTATTGGTTGTTCAAAACATTACAAAGCTCTTGACATATCATATTTCATACATTAGATTCAAGTGGGTTATGAACTCCCATTTTTACCCCAAATACAGATTGCAGAATCACATCGGTTACACATCCACATTGTATGTAGTAAATTAAGGAGTAAATTGTGGGGAATGAAATGTGATAAGAATCTATTCTTCTGATAAGTCTATTTTGAAGAGCAGGAGAACAATACGACAGAATCTATGGGGATAGTTGGATGAAAACAGAATTTTAGAGTTGGAAGGGATTTTCCTGTGGAGAGGAAAAGTTAGAGAATTAGGAAAGGTGGATGCTTAAATTAGCAAAGTCCAGGGGAACCAGAGAGCTGTGGATCAGGGGCACAGTGATACAACTGGCCCTGAGCAGGGGGCAGAATAAGTCTTCCCACCAAGGGGCATGTGAGCCCTGTGGCGTTGCCTTTCAGCTTGGCTGCCCTTTCCTTTCTCATAGGGTTCTCTGCTGTTCTCTCAGAGAAAAACAAACCATTGTCTTCCTTCTTAATCTTTCTCCTGAAGACCATGTAAGATTTGGGAGAGGTCAGAATGTAGTCAGAAGACAGCAGGGATTCTCCTGCTCCTTCTTTCTCTTCCCCACTGTCCTTTCAGCAATTAACCTCATCTTTAAAATTAAAAATAAATACTCAATCTCATAGATTTTTCTGAGAATAAAGTATTTATATTAAAAACACTTTAGAAAGGGAAATATGATTAAATAGCTTAAGTGTTTGGTTTTTTTTCCTGTTGTTTTGTATTTGTCGTTATTTTATGTTCGTAATTATTGTGGTAAAGATTCATGAAGAAGTTATTCATCAAAGCCAGGCCCCCTGCTTTTAGGTTCTGGCCATGTTCTAGTGACTAAGATACCTGGAAGTGGCCAGGAATCTCCATAGATTTTGGTTTGTGATTAGGCAGCTCAAACAGGATTTGTTCGGTATTTTTTTTTTTTAAAAAGGTGACTCCATATAGAGATAGACTGTGTCTTTAGAGGCTTGATATTGTGATAATGCATATAATGGAAGCCAATTGTTAATTACTGAAACCTATTTGCTTAGTTCACATGTTTATTGAGAAGCTTATAATAATCTAATTTTCCACTAGGTGGCAGAAAAGCCCATAGTATTCTTTCAAGCGTGTTCCTCAACCACTTCTGAAAGTAGTGGTTCCTGCCATTTTGGAGAAAGTAATTATTGTTAAAACCTTGGAATATCTTCATTAATCATCAATTTATAAAAAAGGATTACAGTTTTTACCATTCTAAATCACCTGAAATGTATAAAAACACGTACAATAATAATAATAAAAAGGGTTAATGTTTACTGAACATTTTCTATGTGCCAGACACTGTCACAAATGTGCAGGGGCTATGTTACTTAGAGAATTCATGAGGACCACAAATCCTCTTCCAATAAAGAGCTAAGCCTCTCCCAGACCCACTCCTGCAACTATAAAACTGACTAGGTGCATGTATGCTCAGGGCCTACCTGCCCTGCCTGGAGAGGAGGAGTTTAGTTAAGCATATTAACGTTTTTTTAGTCAAGAGCCCTTTATAAGGTTTTATGAACAATTTGAAGTTGCAATTACTATTTTTCAATAATGTTCTTCCCTTAGATCCATGTGATCCCTTGGTTGGGTTCCCTGTTGGTGGCTCATTGGTCTCAGGAAAGTCTGGCAAGTTTCTGGATGATCTGCCCTTTTTGAAGGGCTGGGGCTGAGAAGCCAGACAGGATGAGTCTGATTCATCCTGGAACAAATGCTTTACCATCAGAAGAAAATGGGATTTGTAAGTGGTGTTTGGTACTCAACTGTTCCTAGGCCCAGCCCTGAATATTATTTGCCTTAGTCTTTTTTTAATTTAATTTAATTTAATTTTTGTATTGGTTGTTCACAACACTGCAAAGCTCTTGACATATCATATTTCATACATTAGATTGAAGTGGGTTATGAACTCCCAATTTTTACCCCAAATATAGATTGCAGAATCACGTTGGTTACACATCCACAATTTTACATAATGCCCAATTAGTAACTGTTGTATTAATTAGAACAAGGACTGAGAAATGAAAACAGCAGGGCTATTCCGTAGTGCATGGATGCCTAAGCTGATGGCTTGGCTTACCTTTTTCTTTTTTTAACACAGAAACTAGGGAAATATTCCAGCTGCTCCTGCACAGCCACCTACACAGACAGCTTTTTTCTCTTTTCACTTATTTTAGTATCTGAAAGAATGCTAAAAATACATGAGATGAAATTTCAAAAGGCATAACAAGGCATACAATAAACAGTGTTTTCCCTCCTACACCTGTTCCTCACAGGAAACCCCTGGTGACTACAGTTACCAGTTTCCAGTGATACTCGGTGTGGGTACCACCTGCTTTGTAGTACAGTAGGGATGCTGGTCCTGAGGGAGCAGATCAGAGAGTGAAGTGACTTCCCCTGATGATTTTCAGGGCAAGGAGTTCACAGCACATGGGAAGCAAGTCGTTAAAATTTGGGAATTAATAACAAGGTGGCCTTATTGTGTCACAAGCTGATGAGGGCTATTCAGTGCACTACTGTAGAATGACATATGTTCTCAGATGAAAATTTAGAAGGCAGGTAAGTGTATCTCCCTATGTAAGTTGTGTGTGTGTGTGTGTGTGTGTGTGTGTGTATCTCAATTCTTCCTAGGAGCTCAAGCACTAGGAAGTCTCTTTCATTGCAACTGAAGAATTAATAATCTTCACAAGAGAAGTTGTGCCTCACAAGGCCCTAGGAGTCTTATCCAATAATATCTACTGCATCCACAAGGAGGAGCAACCATGGCAGAGTGGCAGCCAATGTAGGCAAGCTGCTACAGGCAAGCTTCTTCTCCCATCATTGGGTACTGGCCTGATACACATTCAAAAGAATGAGAACATTTGCTGGTTGACCCAGGACAGATTCCATTTTCACCTGGAATATTATTAAAAGGGTCCCATTACAATCTCAAAAGATATCCTAAGCTTGTCAATAAGTAATATGATCACTACAAATACAGTTTTCCCAGTACTGCTCTTTCAGGGTGTTGAAATGATTATAGGCCCCTGAATTAGGAAGAACACAGGAGTCCACCATGTTACAGACCCAAAGCTGAAACAATTTCTTCTTCTTTTAAAGTGGGACCACTTTAAAACAATCCTCTCAAGAGGACTAATTCAATCCCATGAGATCTAGCCCATTCCCGAGAAATAGCATTAATCCATTCATGAAGATGGTGTTTCTTTTTTTTTAATTGATTTTATTTTTTTAAATACACGACAGTGGAATGCATAATTCTTATTACATATATAGAGCACAATTTTTCATGTCTTTTTTTATAAAGTATGTTTACGCCAATTCATGTCTTTATACATGTACTTTTTTTGCATTAGAATTCTTATTACACATATCTACCACAATTTTTCATATCTCTGTTTGTATATAAAGTATGTTGACACCCAATTTGTGTCTTCATACATGTATTTTGGACAATGATATCCATCACATTCTACCATCCTTGCTAATCCCCTGCTCCTTCCCTTTCCCTCCCACCTCTGTTCCCTATCTAGAATTCATCTAATCCTCCCATGTTCCCCCTCCCTACCCCACTATGAGTCAGCCTCAGAGAAAACACTCAGCATTTGTTTTTTGGGGATTGGCTAACTTCACTTAGCATTACCTTCTCCTATGCCATCCATTTACCTGCAAATGCCATGATTTTATTCTCTTTTATTGCTAAGTAAAATTCAATTGTGTATGTATGCCACATTTTCTTTATCCATTCATCCACTGAAGGGCATCTAGGTTGGCTCCACAGTTTAGCTATTGTGAATTGTGCTGCTAAAACATTGCTGTG